GACCACACACACACGTCAGCGTGATCCCAGGTAGTACCAGGTCACAGTCGAAGAGATGTGACGAACCGGAACTATGCTAGCAGTAGTAGTAGTACTAGTAGTGATGATGGTCTGTGGCTGTCCGGACAAGTCGGCGGGCACACGCTTGTGTTGATAGGGATCCGATTATTCTCCATTTAGTTTCGATATGATCCAGGTACATCTGATGTGATAGACTGTCTGCCATGGCTCACCGTTCCTTTTAAGTTTTAATCACTGCTGGTATCCGTGTTCATCGGCTAGCTTAAACAGGCCGGGGGACAGAATTATGACGCTGGAGCCATCACTACACTACACACGTATAGGAGAACAGCTGCTAATATAACCACAAGTTCTCTCGGCTCTCGCTCCTCGATCACTACTCGAACTCGTTGTTTATGTTACTGGCCGGCCTGCAAAGTCGCAACAAGGCCTCGCCTCTTCCACGCCGCGGTTTATTTTCTAGCACACAAACCTACACCACTCAGGGCTCATTTTCTAGCGCAAACCTACACCACTCAGGGGATGAGTCGTGATGAGTCGTCGTCCCGACTCCAATGTGACGCATTTCACCGCGTCCATCACTCCGTCTCGCTCCATGAAAGCTGTCGGAAGGGCTAGCACGTGCTCTGAACATGACAGGATGGCCACCACCGTAGCCTGTTCGGTTGGCTGGTTCGTTTCGTTGCTGGTTCGTGAGTAAATATTGCTATCTAGTTTGTGTGAGAGAAAAATACTGTTCCGGCTAAAAATTTACGATCGTTTACGACAAGCCACAGCCAAACGAATAGGCTAAATGTCCAAGCATGCCGCGTCTGCATGCAGTGCTCTAAGAGTATGTTCGAAGTGCTCAAGACCAAACAACGAAAAAGCTACAATGGGAAATCACCCAGTCCTCCACTGGACCAGTGGATGTCTATGTGCTGGCTAACACCACGAGTAACAAGTCTTCAAGCTTTTAACTTAAGAAACCCAAGCAAAGAACACTGGTATGTAGCACTCATCGCTAACACTCAATCATCACTTTTTGGTTTGTGTGATTCTCCAGATGCTTCACTAACCTCTCTACCACTACAACAGAAAGAGTATTGGAGGCGGTCGTTTTTTATTTCTGGAGGCGGGCATTGCAACCACCTCCAATCAAAGGTCACGGTTAATCCGTGACCTACAGAGGCGGGTGCTTTGCCCGCCTCCATAAATCAAACACGAAAAACCAAAAAAAGAAGAAGAAAAACCCATGGACAGGCCCGCCAAGCTCGGCCCGCCGCCGCCACCGCTAGTGCGATCTGCGAGTCATCGCGTCGTCGTCGCCGTTGTCGTTCGCGCCCGCCCTCGATCCGCCGCCAGAGGACGGATATGCCCTCGATCCGCCGTCAGGGGACGCCACCACCCTCGATCCGCCGCCTGGGGACGCAACCACCCTCGATCCGCCGCTGGAGGACGGTCACACCCCGGATCCACCGGCGTAGGACGGGCACCCCCAAATCTGCCACCGGTGAGCGCCCCCGACCTGGATCCGCCGCCTCCTCGCGCGTGGATCTCGTTGGCCTCCGCCTCCTCGCGACCGCCGGATCCAGATCTCGCGAAGCCGCCCCTCTAGGACCGCGCGTTGTTGCTCTATGGCCATGTGCCGCCGCCGCCATGGAAGAGAAGGGAGCCGAGCGGACTAGAGCAGGGAGAGGGAGGGAGGGAGGCGAGCGCAGCAGAGCAGGGGGAGGGAGGGAGGCGAGTGCGGTCCTTGCGCCATCCGAGTGCGGCGCCGTGCGGGTGACGTGGGAGAGGGAGGTGAGCGCAGCAGAGGCGCCGTGCGGGTGATTGAGGGAGAGCCGCGGCGCGTGTGGCCGTGCGGGTGACGAGGGAGAGGGAGGCGAGCGCAGCAGAGGCGCCGTGCGGGTGAGCGAGTTGAGAGGCGCGGCACCCAGAGGGCTGAGGCTGAGGCTGAAACCCCTAGAGTGTGGTATATATACGTGTGCTCGGAACTGGGCCTCTTCAGCTTTGCCAAGGCTTAGATTTTCAGAAACGGGCTTTATAGTGTGCCCGCCTCTGAAAATCGTTTTACGGAGGCGGACACCTTAAGACGTCCGCCTCCAAAAATATGCTATTTTTGGAGGCGGTTGTGTTAAGGCACCGCCTCCGTAAATCGATTTTCCGAGGCAGGCAAAAATGCCCGTCTTGGTAAATAAAAATTGCCTGCTTCCATTAATCGCATGCATTAACCGCGGCGGTTGGATTTTTTGACTGCCTCCGTTAATAAAAGGACACCGTCTTGCAAAATCATTTGTGTAGTAGTGTACAACTCGATCATATACGATGCACTCTAGTAACATGCAAACAAGTTTACTAGGTTAAGTTGGACTTTCATCCAATAATATCCATCAAGGTCACATAGTCCTGCGTCGCATCGTACCATAGTGAGCGTTAGGGCTGGACGCATTTACACCGAAACCCGATCGCCGAACCAAAACCATAGTGAACCTTCGGTTTGTTTGGTTCGGTGTTGATTTGCATTTCTTGGAAATTTGGTGTTGGTTTTGATACCTTATTGAAATGGGTGTAGCATGATGCCTTCTCAAGCTCATAGTTTTCCTGTTTATGTAGGCTAGGAACAGCCTAGCCTGACTTATTACATCTTGGCTTAGAAGAACAAGAAACAAACAAACTACAACAACCTTATTAGCCGATCGAATGACCTTGGGAAGCAAGTATCTCTCCATACAACAACCACGGAACCAAGACTACTACCTAAATGGAGAACCTACAATGAATAAACAGAGTGTATATATACGTGAAAAAAACTACAAAGGCGTACTATATCGTAGTAACACGTACAAATGTGGATTTGCATTCGAACTACAAAGCCGTACCCTGCATATATGCGTTTGCTGCTTGGTAGCACGTCGACGACGGCGGCGACTAACCAACCCAGAGATGTTTCCGTTCTGTGTTGGGCAAGCGCGAGACGTAGTTGCCTCTGCACGCAGCTGGTTCCTCGTCCCTGGTCGTCTCTCGGACACGGTTGCAGGTACTAGTTCCTGGCCACACGTCCAGCGAGCGCTGCTGCTGCGTGCGTGATCTTCCTATACCAGGTCACAGTCACGGTTGTGACGAAGCGAAACACTGCACTAGCTAGCGATCGACGACTGCTAGTAGTGATGGTCTGTGGCTGTCAGGACAAGTCGACGGGCACACGCTTGGGCCTCGTTTAGTTGCCCGGAATCGACAGCGGCAAAATCACTATGCGGCACTGTAGTGTCCTATAGTATTTCGTTTGTATTTGGTAATAATTGTTCAATCGTTGACTAATTAGGCTCAAAACGTTCGTCTCGTAAAATACAACCAAACTGTGCAATTAGTTTTTGATTTCGTCAACATTAGTACTCCGTACATCTCTCGCAAAGTACAACCAAACTGTGCAATTAGTTTTTGATTTCGTCAACATTAGTACTCCGTACATGTACCACAAATTTAATGTGACAAGGAATCTTTTTTTTGTATAGTGACAAAATTTAGATTTTGGGATAACTAAACACACCCTCGTGTTGATAGCGATCCGATTATTCTCCATTAGTTTCCAGGAACGTCTGATGTGATGGACTGGTTCACCTTTTATTAATCACTGCATGCATACTCATATATATCCGTGTTTATTGGAGCAGTAGCTTCAACAAGGGGGGCAGAATGATGATGCTGGAGCCATCATCACACACATATGTACAGCTGCTAGTCTACCACGTCCTCCTCAATCACTATATAACTGGCCTGAAAAGTCGCAAGGCCTCGCCCCTTCCACGTCGCGGTTTATTTTCTAGCACAAGCCTAAACCACGCAGGGCTCAGCTCAGGGGATGAGTCGTGAGGTCGTCGTCCCGACTCCGATGTGACACATTTCACCGCGTCCATCACTCCATCTCGCTCCATGAAAGCTGTCAGAAGAGCTAGCACACGTGCTTGAACGTGATAGATTGACAGGATGGCCACCACCATTGTCCATGCCACGTATGCATGTTGTGCTATAGGAAAAGACCAAATTAACAGCGAAAGCAAGAATGGAAAACCACCGACGAGTTCTTCGCCAGGCAGTCTGGGTGCTAGCCGCTAAGAGTAACAAGTCTTCGAGCTTCCAACTTAAGAAACCCAAGCAAGAACACCGATAACACTCATGGCTAAAACTCAATCATCACTTCTCAGTTTGGATGGCTCTCCAAATGCTTCACTGACCTCTTCTACAAGTACCGGCAACTATGGAGCAGAAGAGCATGTTTAAATGAGCTAGAGGTAGCACTTATATAAAGGGTGAAGAGGCTGCTAGCCGTTCGACAAAGCTGGTAATAGGTACACACAATAATCACAGGATGATTTTGCCCCAAAAGGCCAGCCTGATCATACGATGGCGCTGTTATGAGATTCCTATGACGGCTAGTTAGGAATATACTAGAATATTCCTCTCCATATGATACGTCGGTGGATCACTAAATCTAGCATGGTTCACCAGATGATCCACCGAGGTCAGACAATCCTCCACTGGAGCATATGGTGTACTCCAGTAACATGCCAACAAGTTACAAGGTCAAGTTGGACTTTCATCGCATAATCCATCAAGGTCACATGGTCCTCCGTCGGATGATATGGCGTACCATAGTGAGCCTTAGGGCTAGGCGCATTTACACCGAAAACCAATCACCAAACCAAAACCATAGCCAGCCTTCGGTTTTTTGGTTTGGTGTCGATTTGTGTTTCTAGGAAATCGGTGTTCAGCTTTGGTGTCGGTTTCCAAGCCACACTCAACCGAAACTCCGTTTACACCGAACACTGCAGAGCCAGGAGCTACGCGTCCAGCAGATAGGCCACACCACCAGCACAGCCCATGTGCCCAGCCCACAAACCCCACCGAAATCAACCAGACCCTCATAGTCATAGCCTCGCGCTCGCCCTTCATAGTGCCCTAGCACCCAAATCAACAAACGGCGGTGGCGCATCCGCACGATGGTGGGCGGCAGGTCCACAACGGACGATGCATCTGCGATGGGCGATACATCGGTGGCAGGCAGCGCATCAGTAGCGGACAACGGCGGTGGTCCCATGGTGGCGTGGAGCACCAGGAGCGGCACCTCAGGATCCGGAGGCGTGGAGCACCAAGAGCGGTGGCGGCAGGCTGCTGGTAGTCTTATGTTCGGTTTATTCATTGAAAACTAAACATCGAACCGAGAAATTGAAAACCAAAGTAGTCAGCTTTTGGTTTTCTACAACGCCAATCGAGTGTTGGTTTTCCAAAACCGAGGTTCTCATACACTGAAAAACCAAACCAATAAAACCGAAAGAGCCGATTGCCCGGTCCTAGTGAGCCTGCCAACTTGTCATTAAGTCTAGATTGGCTTCACTGGATGATCCCTTGTGGTCACAAAGTCCTTTGCCAAATCATAGGACGCTCACTCTATTATTGGGTTAAGTCATTGAATAGAAACAACAAACGATCTACAAGGGTCAACCTTATCGTCTAGTGTATGCTCTGGCACATCTTTTCAGCCTATTTCAAGTCTGATCTCGAACAAACCAACTTCTTTGAGATCTTTGACTTAAAACTTATTCAATGAGGCCACTTACCACCTTCAACTTCAACTCGACCGTCGACTCTTTCAAGTTGCCTTGGACCTCCTTTGATAGTGCGGTCAAAGAGAAACAAATACCTATTACACACTACTAAGCGAATGTCGCCACAACTACAGCCTACACTCACTTATAGAGTGTCCTTAGTCTTCATGAATATCATTTACACCATACACGCTTCCATACAGCAAGTCTTGGGGCGAAGACACGTGGGCATTCATATTGAGACTAAGTCAAATCCATTTATCCCTATAAAACACACGTTAGTCAAAACTGCTTGTAACTAATTAAAGCATATGTACTTAGATCCATCTATATGGACTACTTGGTCCATTATATATTGCTCATGCCCTTAATATCCCTTATAATATATGATAGGAAAAGTAACAAACGACATAAATTAAGGATACCATCAATAATTCGCAGGACAGGGCGCTGCTCCAAGGATTGGAGACACGGAAATAACAATTCACATCGTGCGTTTTAACAAGTGGATGGAAAGCAAGCCTCCAATACAATATATTGTTCTTTATCTTTCAATAATCCACATCAATCATTAGCAAGAGTAGCAGTGGCATCCTACAAGCATTCCATGTGAAGGGAAGCAGCTAGCTAGTCTTTCTTATTGGTCCTATTAGCTGCGTATCCGCTATAGCATCTTTGTGCTGATGTGCTCCAGTGTCCAGACGACGTCCTCTACCATACCATTGTGCCACCAGGTGCCGACGAGTGGGATCAGATATGCACCGTCAAGCAACCACGATAGCCAGATAAGGTCAGGTGCGAAATTTCTGTGAAACTTTCACGAACACAAGTTGGTCGGCGCGTAGTAGGCTGTTGGCCTAACAGCACTGCCACTGCAGCAGTGTTGTCCTTAATTTTTAGTATTTTCCTACGATCACGCGTAGCACGCCCCTATGTTCCATGCCATTTTTTTTAGAGGCAGCCAAAATTTAAATAAGACATAATTTTAGGATTCTAAAAGATTACAAATAAAAAATAATCATCAACTACAAAGTTATTACATATCTCTTCGAGCTCTTCATATATTCATCTAACTCCATTTCAAAAAGTTAATACCTTTTTTGCTTCACCTATTTTTAAAGGTGGGTCACAACTAACCGCATCTAGAAATCCGATTTCTAGAGCTGTTGGTCTACAAATCCTATCATTATACATTCGTCTTGCTTTGCTGTCATCTTCAACATCACTTGTTGAGCACTTGCACATCCATGGTCCTTGCATTCTCTCCTTCATGCCTCCATGCGGCTCAACTAGCTTGTGGACTAACTCACCCATTCACCTCACATTGAAAGCATTAGTCCATTAATGTTGTTACTCGAGTACCAAAACTAAACCAGATCTTCCAACCCTAGAATTGCAAGCCGAACATGCCCAAGTGCCCGATAATCTAGGGACTCGTCCCCTCACGTCATGCCACTTCTAAGCATCAGACCACTTGTGCGAGCGACAATGTTGGCTTCGTGGGCACACTTGGCCACCAGTGTTCAAGGAGGAGGCTGAGCGCGACGGAGAAAGAGGAGGAGGCACGAGGGTGAGGAGCTTCGGTTGTTTCGTCACCGAGGCCGTGCAAGGTGCGGAGCGCCACGAAGCTTGCTGTCGCCAATCTCCCGCGGGCCACATTTGTCCTCCACACCATCCTCCCTGAGCCACACTCCTGTAACCCTCCATGCTGTCCTCCTAGCCTGCACCACTGGTGCCCCCCACGCCGCTCTCAACACGCTGCCTTGCGGCTCCAGCGACCGCGCTTCGAGCTTTGTTTGAAATGGACATAATCTTATTTATCATTGTTTTCCAAATTGTTTGAGACCCAACTTCAAACTGAGCTTAACGAGCTGAGCTGAAGTCAAAAGTTACTCAAAATTAACTCATTTTTATTTTGAAAGGAAAATGAGTTCAATCAGAGCATTTTTGAAATGAGCCGCCGAGCTAGCTCAACGAGCTTTTTATCTGGCCCTACGTGGCAGTGCCCACGATTTGGGAAGGAGAGTAGAGAGAGTTTTTTTATATGAGAAGGGAGAGAGCGAGAGTTGGTGTTGCAGAAAGGAGAAATGGGATGCAAGATTTGTGGCTGGGACGCTCGTGTTGTGAGAGCCGAAGCGTCGGGACGTGCGGACAGAAGCATTGTCTAACAGCTTATAGTTTTTTCACTCCATATCGGCCCGTTCGCTTCACTGGAAAAACAAACCAAAACACTGTTCCGGCTGATTTGTTGTGAGAGAAAAACACTCTTCCGACTGAAAAAACAAGCTAAAAAAGACGGATTATAAGAGAAGCGAACAGGGTCATAGTTGATAGAAACGTTTTCGTAGATCACAGCTGAACCGAACAGACCTTAGTATGATAGCTAACTAGCAGGGGCGGATTCAACGCGCGGGGGGCTCGAGCCCCCACCGATCTTGGGATCACTTTGAGCCCATGAATTTTTAGACAAAGTTCTATCTTATAGGTAGGGCTGAGACTTAAGATCGAGCAACAGTCGAAAGTATGTTACTGTCGCACTTTTGTTCAGCTCCTCCTAAATTTTTTCATGAATCCGCCGCTGCTGACTAGTTTACCAAACAGACCTTAGTATTAATGTTTGTTCGAAAGGAGATGGTTAAGCTGGAGCTTTTTTGCATTATAAAAGAGTCCAATATCTGTTTTTTTAACTAAAAACTTAACTCAAGCTAAAACCCACGTACCCCCTTCATTCTAAATTATAAGTCATTCCAAGAATTTTGGAGAGTCAAATCATTTTAAGTTTAACCAAAGATTATACGAAGAAATACAAAGGTTTATGACATCAAATTGATATACTATGAAAATATAAGTAATGAAGAATCTAATGATACTTAGTTGGTATCAAAAATATTATTATCTTATTATATAAATTTAGTCAAACTTAAGAAAGTTTGACTCTCCAAGATTCTTGGAATGACTTATAATTTAGGATGGAGGGAGTACGTTTCATCAGTGAATAGTTTATCAGATGGTCACATCTAGTAAAAGTTAATTATCCACAAGCGCCTGCCAATGAGCAGCTGTTTGCAAGCCCTCGTTTAGTTCGGCCCGAATTCGGCGCCGGCAAAGTTACTGCAGACACAGTAACTACTGTAGCATTTTATTTGTATTGGTTAATAATTGTTCAAACGTTGACTAATTAGGCTCAAAACGTTTGTCTCGCAGAGTACAACCAAACTGTGCAATTAATTTTTGATTTCGTCAACATTTAGTACTCCATGCATGTACCGCAAATTTAATATGACGGAGAATCTTCTTTTTGTATAGTGCCAAAGTTTAGAATTTGGGGTAACTAAACACCCCCAACTTTGAAACAAGCGCTTTGTGTGGTATATATATATCGGGTACCCAGCCAAGCGCACGCGTCGCCGTTGCCGTCGCGCGCCCCCACCTCCCGTCCCCTCCGCTTCTCTTGGAAACCCATCACTAGCCGTCCGGAACGGCGACGCCTCCTCGTCCTCGGCTCCTGCTGCCCCAGCGGTAGGTGCCGCGTCGCCTTCCTTAACTGCTCCTGCCCGCACCGCATCTCTTCCCCTTCCTCCGTCTCCCTGCTGCTCCCACTCCTATCCTCTCTGCTCTGCCCGTCCCGTGTGTGCTCCATCCTCCTCCACCTGTCGCCGCTCCAACCGCCCCGCCCCTCAGATGTCAGTCCCTGCCCGCACCATTTCTCCTTCTTGATTGCATCCAGAGGCTAGCTCAGGATTCTGATGCCTGTTTCGATTTCCGTCTGTAGGACCGGGCCGGGCGACGAGTTGGCCGAGCTGCTGTGGGACCACGGCCCGGCGCCCGCACCGCCGCCGTTCCAGCCCTTCACCTGCAGCGCCGCCGGCAGCAGCAGGTCCCAGGAGCTCAAGCGCCACGCCGCGGACGCCACCAAGGCGGCAGCGTTCGTGACCCCCGTCGTCCCCGTCCCGCTGGGCATGCACGGCGCCGGAGCCGGGCTCGGCCTCGGCGGCCTCCCCGTCCACGACGACGAAGACGACGCCGTGCCGTGGCTGCATTGCCCCGTCGTCGACGACGGCGACGGCGACACGGCGCCGCTGCCCCCGGAGTACTTCGCCAGCCTGCTGTCCGAGTACTCGGAGGCGGCCACGGCGCCAGCGGCGGCCTCTCATGCCGCGGCCGTCGTCCCGGCCGCGCCGCCTCCGCCAGAGGCCGGCGCGGCCAACAAGCTGGCCCCGCCGAGCGCCGCCGGCGGAGGAGGTGAGGGCGTCGTGAACTTCACCTTCTTCTCGCGGCCCCTCCAGCGGCCGCAGGCGGCGGCATCGGCCGCCGCAACCGCGAGCCACCCCGTCGAGTCCACGGTCGTCCAGGCGGCAACGAACCGGCTGCGGAGCACGCCGCTGTTCTCCGAGCAGAGGATGGCGTGGCTGCAACCGCCCAAAGCGCCGCGCGCCACGGCGGCAGCGGCAGCGGCGACGCCACCTCCACCCCCTCCTACTCCTCAGCTGGCGCCTCTGCTCCCAGATAGCCGCCATGGGGAGACAGTAGCTCAACCCCGGTCGCAACCAGAGGCAAGGCCCACCGACGCGGCGGCGGTGACGACCTCTTCGGTCTGCTCCGGCAACGGTGACCGGAGCCAGCTCAAGAGGAGCAGCCACCTGGCCGCGGACTGCTCGGTCAGTCCGGACGAGGTATAGCGATGGCATGCCCGACCACGCTCGCCACTGCACTGCACCCATTGATCCGATCCAATCTCGCTGCCTTGCCTGATTTGTACGCCCTCCTCTCTGCTCTGCAGGACCTGGACGACGAGCCCGAAGCGACGAGGAGGTCGGCGGCGCGGAGCGCCAAGCGCAGCCGCACCGCCGAGGGGCACAACCTGTCGGAGAGGGTACGCGCCCTTCCCCTCGATGCACGCTTCTGCCAATGCGTGCGCACATGCATGCCTTGCCTGCCATCTCACTGACCGACCTTGCTGTGTGCCTGCGTTGCAGAGGAGACGGGACCGGATCAACGAGAAGATGCGCGCCCTGCAGGAGCTCATCCCCAACTGCAACAAGGTCTGTCTGCTCCACTCGATCGAGCCGCTGCTTCGTCGTCGTCGTCGTTGTCGTCGATGTGCTGAACAGCTGACGGAAAGCATCATCTGCCTTCTTTCGCGTGCAGATCGACAAGGCGTCGATGCTGGAGGAAGCGATCGAGTACCTCAAGACGCTGCAGCTACAGGTGCAGATGATGTCGATGGGGACCGGGCTGTTCATGCCGCCGGCGATGCTGCTGCCGGCGATGCACCAGCACCTGCAGGCGCTGCACCACCACCCCATGGCGCACGCGCACGCGCACTTCCCGCACCTCGGCATGGGGCTAGGCTTCAGCATGGGCGCCGCCGCTGCGGGGTTCGACATGCTCCCGCGCGTCGCGGCCGGCGCGCACTTCCCGTGCACGCCGATGGCAATGCCGCCGTCGGGGGCCATGTTCGGCGTGCCGGGGCAGGGGATGCCCTCGCTGACGGCGGCGTTCGCTCACATGGCCGGCACCGCGCCGGCTGGACAGATGCAAGCTGGTGCCGGTGCTGCGGCGGCTGCTCCTGCCCGGCCAGGAGAAGCAGAGCACCCGCCGGGCCGCGGCGTGGCAGAGGTACAGTGCTGCTGCTGCAGCCATCAGAGTTGTCCTGCAGCCGCAACGCGCTGCCTAGTGTCTTCAGCTACTGATGAGATCGCCATTGTTTCTTTGTGTGCCCCATCCATTACAGGGCGATCAGGAGGCCCAACAGCACCAGAAGCAGACGTGAATGAAGGCGAAGGCGACGAGGCGGCTGGCTAGCGTGTCGTCAGCAGACGGCCGCTGCCGGAAGATTTCCGTCCTTCATCGTGCTTGCTGGTGTTGTCGGTGAGACGAGACGTCGCCGCCGAGACGCCAATGTCGCTCTGAATCTGATCTACTACTCCATCTCCATCGACTCTGACAAAGCGCATGCATGCAGATGCAGTGATGCAGCCATGCCAAGCAAAGCGGCAGGCTCTCGGGTTCTGAAGTCCGAACTGAGCAGACATTTTTTGTACCGTGCCTGCTGTAGCTTGCCTGTAGTACTTCTAGATTGGAGGAGAATGTATAGAGGGCAACTCGAGGAACGTTTGTTTCACGCAAGAGACGGGTTTTGTGAGGTTTCATGAGCAGAAAAAACGCCGTTCCCAGAACATAAGCTGGCCATCAAGAATTGAACTCTGAGGTGTTATTTAAATTCAGAGAGTAAAATTTAGAGATGTCACATCGGATTGTCATATGGAAGGGTTCGGTCAGTAATAATAAAACAAATTATAGAAGTCTACGGTAATCCGCGAGACGAATTTATTAAGCTTAATTAATTCGTCATTAGCACATGTTTACCGTAGTACCACATTGTCAAATCATGGACTAATTATGCTTAAAAAATTCGTGTCGCAAATTAGCCACAATCTATGTAATTAGTTAATTTTTTAGTCTATATTTAATACTATATACATGTGTCAAAGTAAATTTTAGGAGAAAAAACTAAACAAGCCCTGAATGTCCTGCCTTTGATGAGTTTGGCTGCAGAGATAAGCAGATGATGCAGGCAGGACATTCAAAGGCTGCAAGCTTCTTACCAACCACTCACACCTAAAAAACCTAATGATCCAGGCAGGAACAGGCAGGGGGGAGCCATCAAGTGCTCAACTGTATGGATGGGCTCATACATGATACATGTACTCTACTGATTCGTGTGCCCATACGGCCATACTGTACATGCTTGTATCATGCTACCATGCAGAATGGAGATGCGGATGCAGAATGATGATGATGGGTGTGGCGTTCGTCGTCTCATTCATCTCGCTCTGCGTCTCTTGGCTGTAAAGTGCGCGTAATGAGCTGATCATCCGAGTTCCTCCCTGCCAAAGTGCCAAGACAGACGGATCACATTCACATTTCACGTACACCGGCGGCAGCGGCAGGCAGGAGCAGGACAGTGACCCTGAGGCACGGATGGTTTCTACTGTTCACGAATGGTCTCGTAAATTCCTCCAAATTTATCTAGATTCGTCATCGAGCGATCTGACTGCGCTAGAGGATAAGCCGGGACAGTGGATGCTGTTGGAATGGCGGATCAGCGGCGGCCATCACTCATAACCGCCCCTCTGTGCTGCTCCGTTCCTGCTGCCTAGCCTCTGCGCGTCTTCAATTCCGTCTGCCTTTTTAAAGAAAGGCCTCTGCAGCTCTGCCTCTGCTGACTGCCGCGGTGCCGCCGCCGCTCTCATCACTCAAGTCTGAACAACTCTGACGCCGTCCATGCGCCCGTGTCCTGAACCTGAACCGCCGGCCACACGGCAGCGGCGGCACGACCTCCAGCGTCGATCTCCTCTCATCCACACCGTGTGTGCGGTGTTGCTGCTTTTTGTGGCGGCGTCGCGTCATCTACAGAAGTACGGCTACAGGGATGTTGCCGCTGCGGGGAGCATTGGCAACGCTGAGCAGAGCTGCATGTGCAGTGGCCACGGATCCGTTGAACATTGTCCAGCTCTCTCTCTTTTGACTGCTATACTCGCTCCGATCCCAGTTATAACACGTTTTGACTGTTGTGGATACATTGCTGGTATCATATATCTAGTGTGTATATATGTTCCAATATTTAGAAAAGTCAAAACTTCTTATAATTTAGGACAGATTGAGTATTACTATACCTACGGTACGTACCAAGAAAAAAAATAAATCTTATTTTTTGAGGTAAGATTAGTGTAGATATAAAATTATGCATTTGTCCCTCCTCTATCATTCTTGGAACAGTTGTTTTTTGGAATGTTCTTCTCATGGATAGATATAGTATGTTAGTTTTTGGGTATTTTTAATAGGTGGGTCTTATTGGAAAGGTGATCTCTAACTCTATAATTACATTTTTTTAGACAAGAGTCCTGTTCTATAGCATAGTGAATGAATAGTGTTTTTGTCTCACAACAAATCAATATAAGCATAGACATAAGCCAAATTTCAGCAAAATGAACCGGACCGAGGTTTGAAATGCAGGATTTCATTATTTTGGGGAGGGGCAATCTTGCATTCAAAGGGGGCTCAGGTTGAAAATTTGACTCCTTCGCTTGGATTTGAATCAATCAAGAGGTGACGCTAATAATGGTGATGCGGACAGGCAGTCAACGATGTCGGCGTCAGTGGAGTGGAGCCCGTACAGCAGGGGTGTTCCTGTTCCTGAATCTTGACCGCGCTTCATGCCATGTCTCATGCTAATGCCAAGGTCCGGTCCGGTCTAGATTGAGGTTAGGAATCAGTATTTGGCACTGTAGCATTTTCGTTTGTATTTAACAATTATTGTCTAATCATGACCTAACTGGACTCAAAAGATTTGTCTCGTAATTTATAATCAAACTGTATAATTAGTTATTTTTTTATCTACATTTAATACTCCATGTATATGTCAAAGATTTGATATGATGGAAAGAGGCCGAAAAAAACTTAATCTAAACAGGGCCCAAGGAGAAAAAGAAAAAACAGCAACTCGTACTTGTTCTTAGAAACAATGACAGAAACCTCCTTGTAATATTCATACAATGCATCAATTTCTCGCTGCCATTCAGCAGATGCAGACTCCTTGACCACCACAGCCAATTCAGCGCAGGCTCTTTTCCTCTTCTCCTAATTGGCTGCTTCTTGTTTGGCTCTGCTGCACTGGACGCACAATCCGGAGTTGATTCCTTCGCCTTATCGCCATCCATCAGAAAACCTTTAACAATGTACATTAGGCGTCATGCACAAGCCTTTAAAAGCTCACAAGTAGCACTACATTTGGCGAAAAATATGTCATCTAGTCAGTTATTGTCCAACAAAGGTTTGACACCGAACAGATAAGAGGACAGCAAAATTATGTCATCTGGTCAGTTATTGACGCTGAACAAATCCTACCGGGTCCCTGATCGATTCACTTAACTAATTACGTTAAGAAACCAGTACTATCAATTCAGTTCGCTTCATCAGAGCAAGCAGGATCCAGGAAACCTATTCTTTAGTGACACTAATACTACCGACAAGAAACCCAACAACTCGTACTTGTTCTTAGAAACAATTGAAGAAAGAGGCTCATGATCCACGGGGTGAACTTTCTGAAAGGGGTTTTCGCAACGAGCACAGAACTACACAAGCGGAGACAAATCACCTTGCGGCGGCCAAGAAACGTGGGGAAACCGCTACGCGATTCTAACTCCTCCGCTCAGTTCTCCCATCAAAGCATCCAGAAATGGAAACAAACCCCTCAAATCAATAGAAATAACCCACCCAATCCAAGCAGTTCGACGCACCAAACGGGAAACCCCAAAAATTTCCCAATAACTCGCCGCAAATCAGCCCCGCGTACCTCTGCGGCGCGCCCGGTCGGATTCCCCGATGATAACTGCGATTTCCCCTTTCTCTTGCCACACCTCGTGCCCCTCGTCGCTTCGGTTGAAAGGGCCAAGCCACGAGCCAGAGCAGCCTTTGCCGTGGCGTTTGGACGGGCAGGCCGATTCCCTTACTGCGCACGCGAGAAGCCCACCACCGGCACACGAGGACGAGCTGATTGAAGAGGCCTACTGGGCCAAATGATTTTTGTATAGAGCCCGCCAGCCAGGGTAAGCATCATTAAGGAGAGAGAGGCGCCAGTGACAGGGATGGACAGAAAGGCCACCGATAGCACTTCAGTGTCGGACCGGTGGGTATGGAAAGGCGAGGCCGCGAGCGCAAGATGAATGGAACCCTGATATAATTGTGGGTTCATATCTAATATACCTCTGAAGGGATAACACTATATAAAGAAATCTGTGCTCATCTATAATGGATAAGAGATACGAGTTCCACGATATTTGCTCTCTTGCGTGTTCATCAGGTGTACTGTTGGGAAGGGATATGGGAGATCATCTATAACTTCCTCACGTCTCATATGCTACGGAGAGGGAAGAGAACCGGATCAGAGATCCACAACACCACCGTTACTTAACACGTCATAAGCACGCTCTACCGCTACTCATCCACGACGCTGCTCGCAGATTAGTTTTACTTTTCAATCTAGATCGGTTTGGTGTACAGACTAGCATGCTAGATTCGTAGATATCGTTTTTCCCTGGCAAGTTTACTCGTTCTAGATTGATCTTTACAGTTTACCACTACGCGTAGTTCACCTTGCCACTGCCCTGATGGCGGTCATCACCATGTACGTGAGCACTAGTATGCTAGATTAATAGATTTATTATTTTTTTTTCTAGCAACTACGAGTAGATGTGATCGGTTTTTGCATCTATATTAAAAAACACGGCGCCGCTACCCGGCCCATCAACCTGACTGAACCGATCTGTTTATCGCTGCTTTCTTTGCACGCATGCTTTTTGCTATAGATTGGATTTTTTGTCCTGTGTGCATCTACTGAACCAACGTAATCGGTCAGATTGGTTACATGGCTGTTTTTTATGCAAATACCACATCATCACCGGCCAACCCAACGCTTGCGCGTACGCCGGTTGAGATTTTGCAGATCAATTTAGGCTCCGAAGCTGTATAGCCCTGAAGTGCTTAATGTTTATTTCCTTGCGATTATTACAGAGTTGTTTTTCTATGGCCAACCTTGTATGTCATGCATGAACGCTAGTGTATTTAATTTTCTTGATCGCCCAACCCCACCGTGTTTTAACACGTACGCCGGTAAACTTCCACGCATCTCGTACACCTACTGTATGCATGCGTCGTGGCCCTGCCGGCTACTGTATCTTGTCGCCATCATGGCCCTGATGGCCATCTTGT